AGACGTTAGAACGAACTTTTCTTTGCCATAAGGTTCTAAATAAATAAAGATATAAAATAGGTATCATGGCAGTTTTTATGAAATCTAAAGGGAAAAAAAGTCTATTTAATATAATAAATAAGTGAAATAGTGTAACAAAAAAACAAAACAAAACAAAACAAAACAAAACAACAAAAAAACAACACAAAACAAAACAACAAAAAAAAAGAAAAAAAAAAGAGATATTTCATCGATTCCTTTACGTTAAAGTATTCGTTTTTTATTTTTAGCAATAGCTGTTTATAAATTACAAAAATGTCAACCAATTCGTCTAATTTTCTCGTAAATGTTCTATTTCGTTACTCACTACTACTACTACTACTACTACTACTACTACTACTACTCAATGGTTGCTCTGCGGTATTGAATTCTCCGAAGAATCACGAACCTCTTACAGAGGAATTATAAGGATATTCCGAATAAAGCCAAGTATTTTAACAGAAAAAGATTGCAATCATCATCACTTGGTAGACTTATGCTTTCATCGTTATTTATTTTATAGAAGATAATGTAGAACTTACATAGAACTTATAATAGACGTCTCAAGTGACTGGGTCGATGAGAAATACAAATAAAACTAAAACAACCGCAATTAGACCGAGAATTATATTTTCGTTATATATAATATATAAACATTTATTGTTTGCTAAATTTCATAAAATTATTAATTGCTTTAATTGATATACTTGCAATAAAGTATTTAAGTTTAAATACTACAATGAACAATATATACATTTATACTTTGCAATGATAAATACCTTTCGTTATTTAAAAAATGCATTGAAAAAAAAGTGTGAATCGAGAAGAGGCTTTTCAAAATAATTATATTTTCATTAATTTTGTAAAGTTCTAATACAAATAAAATCACTAATATATCAATATTATAAATTTAAATTTTAATCAAATAGAAACTGAATCTATAGATTCGCCAATAATCTTGATGAAAATAATCTAAAAAATTGCTTCAATATGCTCATGGTTTATATAATCATTATATCGATTGCTAATTAATAATTATTAATTAAAATGTCGAATTAGATAGTCCTGTTATTTGTTATAAAGTATATTTTAAGTCTTTATGTAATTATAAATATAGTCTCTCTTCCTGAACAATAATGTAAAGTTTTAGTTATCTAAATTACTTGATAATTAAGGATGATAACTTATCAAGTAATAATGATAAAATATAAGAAAAAATTGATTAATTTGAAATTTATTACCCTAGTATCTATGTATCTCGTAAATATAATATATCATTGTTTATAAGATATTAACAATATGAGTTTGAAATTATTTATGACTCGTATCATCGTATAATTTGGAATTTCCATCTGACAAGAAAATTATAATAATCTATGGTTTGTGAAAATTTTTTTTTTAAAAAGTTTTTCTATATCTATATTTGTCAAATGATTTTTATTTGTTTATTTTTATAATTTATTAGACTGTTTTAATTAATTTTTTAATGAGATATACACATTGATAAATGATTTAAAAAAATTAAAAACAAAAATTAAATAATTTAATTCATATACAATATGCAATTTAATCTCAACTTGTAATATTTAATTATTCTTTTTATCAAATATAGTTAACATTAAATTAAAATGTTAATGAAAAATGTCTTTGGAATTTTTATAACAATACAAAAAATAAGGATAAAAAATGACTCACTAATTATTTAAAATAAAACGTTTGATTATTCTAGCTTTTTTGAAATATTGAAATTGAAATTATTTATTAGCCGTTTCTTATGTATGCCTCATTAACCAATTATACTCACTCATAATTAGATCTTAAAACTTTAAATTTACATTTTTTAAGCAATTCATTTCATCATTAAGATATCAATCTGTTTGACTTTTTAAATCCTATCTGTTTCTTTTATTTTTCATTGTTCGAACTTGTTATATATTGCGGATAAGATATATTTCTTTTACATTAAAAAATCAAATACATTTGATTTCATATTGAACCAGTATTCATTGACAATGCAGATTATTTTATGTACTTTTTAAATTTTATGTTTGCATGCGTGCGTGAGTGCGTGAGTGCGCGAGTGCGTGCGTGCGTGCATGCGTATAAATTTCACAGCTTTGTAATCAAATAGCTTTTAAGTTAAACGTAGATTTTTTATTTAATAGAGAATTGTGGAATAAAATTTATTAGGTGTTGGAGCAACAGAATAAACATTATGCAAATGGAATAGATATGGAGAGAATATACTAATGATTAAGCTATTATTATGATAATTATTATTAAATTTAATTCTGTTCGCGGTAAGTTAGATATAATTTAATTAAGTATATAAAAAAATTGATATGTGCTAATTTAGAATGTAAATGACTTACGAGTAATGTATGCATACTGTATAAAATTATATATTTATAAAAATAATTTTTCTTAAATGTCCGTCCGTGTTGTAATATAAAATATAAAAATATAAAATAATTTTATTGTGAAATAAAAATAATCGTGTTATTGTCTAAAATATTTTTAGTTTTGGAAAGAAATGAAACGTTCAATCCGAATGAACAGTTTTGTTATTTCTATATTTTTAAATATAGAACAATGTAGAATAATTTTTTTTTTTTATTAAACTTTAACAGTTTGACATTAAACATATATTTATAAAGATATACAAATAACAATATTTTCTGAAATTTTTTAAAAACTTCACAAATATTATGTTTTTGTAATCGTTGGAACATTTGCATCATTCTATTGCCAAACAAATAAAAACAGCATAATTAAAATGATTTGATAAAACATTAACCGAACGATAGGCTATTTTTAAACACTTTGTAATATTAAGTTTTGCCGTATGATTGTACGTGCGTATCATACTAGAATAATATATAAAAAAAAATAAAAAAAAAAAAAAAAAATCGTTCTAATAGTAATAAAATATAAATTTGAACATTGTAATAAATTGAGTTTTAAGGCAAATTATTAGATATGACATACATGAAAAGTTGCTATAACAAATGAAAATTACAAGTAGGTGATACACACACTTGTATTTACCGATACTTTTCTAACAATGATTAATCCCTAATAGTTATGAATGAAAATTCTTACTTATCGCATTGCATACTTAATTATTTATTAAAGTTATACCAATCATTTTTTATCTATAATTTTTTTTTTACCCGAATTTTCTTGTCTATAATATAGCAAGAATTCCGATGATCCGATAACAATTGTTAATACAAACGAATATTATACCACTGTAGTCGGTATGTAATACGCTTAAAACATTAGAAATATATTGTTCCGCTTAATCGATTGCTTTTGCATTTGAAATAAATTGCAAGTAATTATTACATGAAAATATTTGGTTGATGTGAAATAAGTAAAGATGGGACGTTTATTTACATTATAATTGAACAATTTAATATTCACTTTTTTTTCTTCTATATGTAAGATCTATCGCTTGTTTAATCGATAAAATGAAAAAGGCTTTTTGCAAGTTGAATGTAAATAAATGCTTACGACTATGATTACGAGTACGCGTAATTCAAATATTACAAATTTAGTCGATATTTTATTATGATATCGCGAGTGCGAATTAAGTTTTTTTATTTCTTTCTTTCTGTTACTTAGTGTTTATCAGGTTAACGGGAATCTCATCTATCGATATAAGTTTCACTAAAATATCACTCCATTTAGTTCCTTCGTACATACGGCATAAGCGATTAATAAGTATTGAAAAATCATTATAAAGTCATATCGGGACAATTATTAGTATGTAAGCCGTACCTACTACATATTTCATATAATATCGTTTTATTTATTAATTATCTTGAGTGTACTAGTACATAAATAAAAATATTATTTTCAAATTGTTCGATTAATTATTTCGCTTGTAAGAATGTTCTTTAAAAAAATAGTATCAGTGCGAATTATATTTTGCAAAAATAAAGATGAACGTCCAAACGTATGGAGGTGGTTGCTTACCGTATCTTAAATATGTCAGTACCTCGTTAACATTATTTACCATAAATACGTTAAAAATTATTATTATTACGTTTTTTTTTTTTTATCATTATTATTATGAGTGCAACAATATCTTAAATATGATAACAGAAGAAGAAGAAAATATATATATATATATATATATATATATATATATTGTTATATTTACATATTTTATGAAATATTATTGTCAATAAAGTTCTTTTCCATAGCTCAAACTATCATGATTTGGGAAATAAAAATAATAGCTTTTAAAATAGAGTCATCATAATCAATGATCTATTTATACGTTTTCAATCGACACTTGTCATTCATTGGCCGCTAAAAATATTCTCAAGCGCAATGTCACGTTATACATACCTGACACATCTTTTTGTTATATTAATGTTGCGTTTAGGCCCTAATTACTAATAAAAGCAAATCAATGGCAAACGACTTTAGGGTAATGTGCGATCTGCGATGGAGTCGATTCGAGCAAACGATAACGTGAATTTTGAAAAAGTCCCGATTAAAAGGCCAAAGCAATGGGGGCCAGAAGTGAATCGTTATTTAAAATAGAAATGCAGAAATCTTATAGCCGTTACGATTGAATAATTCGTGTATTATCGTTAATGGCGTTTGAAATTGCCGAGGCAATCATTTTTATGGATCCATTGAGATGACCGACGGCATGCTCTACCGGCCTTGTCGCCTACTTTTATAACGATCGCCTGGCAAAATGCATCGGGCGCTCCTCTCCTCGGGCGATCCTCCGACGATCCTGATTGCGCGCAGTTGCTCGATCGTGGCAGAATATAGGCCCAGTACTCTACGAGCAGCACGAGTAGTTAGTTATGAGCCACAAGGTCCCTCTCCCTCCCTCCCTCATGCATGCTCATACATGCGCATACGTCAGAGTGTCCCGTGGCCGCCGATGCCGAATTAACGACGAGGCAAGATTTTTATCATAGATCGATGCTCGAGCATACGTATCGATTATCGATTATAAGAGCCTCTGCGATTTAATGGAACGGAAAGCCCTGGCGAACGGCTCAGCCTGAATTGGCATTTATCGAGTGCACCGAGGGATGCGCGAGCACGCAACGCTGCTGTGTTGTGTAAAAATGTTCGGCTGGCCCAGGCGCAGGCGCACTCGGCTCGCTCTAAACATTTGACAGCGACCGAGCGAGAGCTCAATGGCGGCAGTGGTTGGCTCAAATGAACATCGAGTTTCAATAACAGATGTATTTTTAATTCGCGTTTATTGGCATATTGCGGTGGTTTAGTGTCCTGGAAAGTAATAGCGATTATTATCGTGGTCTGATAATACTAGCTCTTGATTGTTTAATACGCGACAGCTGCGAAAGTTGTTAATCTCACTCGAGCTTTTGTGTTTTAACAAGAGGTTAGATCTATGCGATACGTACATTTGTGCTTTTAATAGTTTATAACCTATGGTTCGATCATTTTTGTGCATTATGCTCGTCATATATTAGCGATTGTGCGTGAAATAGTATTAAATAGAATTTTCAATTTCATCGACTTATTGATCTAACGGTATTGATAGTATGAAAATTGTGATTAGGCTGCTAATAACTGCATTGGTTGAAGCGAATATATATCTTTTCTTTTTTTTAACTGCATGAGAAATGAGAGTACCAATCGAATCGCCCATTAGTTATTTCGTATAATTAATAATAATGTCATAATTGCTCAACAGATTGACAATTGCTTATGTCTGCATAATAATTAATTGTTGATTGATGAGCAGAAATTAAGTCTACGTTTCAAGCTGGACCATATATAATGCACACGACACATACATAAGTATATAAGAGCTGCTGTAATGGCATGCTTAAGAAGATTAATTTTATAAAATGTAAAATGTAACTGTGAAATCTTTTATAGCGTTGATAAGGATATGTCCATGGACTGCTAATATTGAATTTCAAGAATTAGCGAGTTAAAATGTCACAATGGATGCAAAGTAATGTGGGGCCAGTTCCATCGCGTTGGTTGAATTGTCCTCGAAAGTCCATTAAGCTTATTCACAATAAATTTCTTGCTTTCAAAACTCCGCTCAGCTCTTGCTTTGATGACGAAGTGCCGGAGGAATGTCGCTTTACCGTAGAAATGTTACTCGCGTCTATTAAAAGCCAACGGCTGAAAATTGGTCTTTGGATCGATTTGACCAATACTTCTCGCTTTTATGAAAAACAAGAGATCGAACAGAAAGACGTGCGTTATTTGAAACTTCAGTGCAGAGGTTACGGGGAGACACCATCGGCCGAGCAAGTGAAGACATTTGTGCAAGTCTGTAAAAATTTTATTGCCCACAATCCATTAGAAATTATTGGCGTTCACTGTACGCACGGCTATAATAGGACTGGCTTCATGATCGTCAGTTATCTTGTAGAGACGGACGAAAGCAGTCTCGATGCTTCGTTAGCTCAATTTACAGATGCTAGGCCCCCAGGAATTTATAAGGATCACTATATTAGAGAGTTATACAGCAGGTACGACGACGTTAACGACGCACCCGCTGCACCTCCACGACCCGCCTGGTGCTTAGAATATGACACTGCAAGCGATTCTGGCGACGATGCAAGTACAGCTACCCATTCGGAAAGAAAACATTCGCACAAGAATCGCAGGAGGGAGTATATGAAGCAGAATCCAGTTTTTATGAGCGGTGTGCCAGGCGTTACGCCTGTTCTGGATTTTCAAAAAGCATCCGGTATACAGCGACGCGTTCAAGATATTTGCAATTGGCAGAGTACTGGCTTTCCAGGTGCGCAGCCGGTCTCAATGGATTCGGAGAATCTTTGTTTTCTCCATCAGAAGCCTTACAGAGTTTCTTGGAAAGCGGACGGTACAAGATATATGATGCTCATTCAGGGCGACGGGCAAGTTTATTTTATCGATCGCAATAATAGCATTTTCAGCGTAGACAAGCTGACATTTCCTCATGTAAGAGATTGTAATAAAAAATTAAAAGATACTCTTCTAGATGGGGTGAGTGTCTCACGTAACCTTACTTTTAACTTAAAGAACGATTGGTATCGAAGTTTAAATTTCATTTTTTATATATATATATTTTTTTTATCTTTTATTTCTTTGCAGGAAATGGTAATCGATAAGGCTCAGAGTAAAGAATATCCTCGCTATCTAACTTACGATGTTATTATGTACGATGGCAAGGACGTTAGTAAATTGACATTTTATCCAGAGCGTTATAGAATCATTGAAAAGGAAATTATGGGCGGTCGACATAGAGCTATGAAAGAAGGACGATTAATTAGAGAGAAGGAACCCTTTTCTATAAGGTTAAAGGAATTTTGGGACGTAACCCAAGCTGGTAGCCTACTTAGTGACAAATTTGCAAAGCAACTTGGTCATGAACCGGATGGCCTAGTCTTTCAGCCGGATAAAGAGCCTTATAAAGCTGGTCCATGCGCAGATGTATTGAAGTGGAAGCCATTGTCCTTAAATTCTGTCGATTTCAAACTAAAAGTTGTCGTCGAATCAGGCGTAGGAATTGTACGTCGATCCGTTGGTCAGTTGTACGTTGGTGGACTCGAAGTGCCATTCACTTCGATAAAACTAACCAAGGAGCTTAAAGATTTCAACAATAAAATCATAGAATGCAAATATGAAAATAACCAATGGGTTTTCATGCGAGGGCGAATGGACAAATCTTATCCAAACTCATTCTCTACTGTCAAAGCCGTTTGTGCTTCCATTTCCAATCCCGTTACTAAAGAAAAACTTTTAGACTTCATTCGTAAGCATAGGTTTTCACCGGACGATTCGGAACTCATGCCACCACCTAGAAATCATATGAGGTGATAAAATTATGTACATCTAAGTTTACTGCTTATCAAATAAATGTAATCATAATGAAATAAACAAATAAAGAAAATTTATAATAAAATTAAATACTCCCATTGACTTGATTATTAATTCCAAAACAACATGCCAACATGCTCGCAATCACTTTTTATTAATCATTTTAATGGTAAATAAATTATTCTACATTAGTTAAAAGAATGACAGTTAATCAGACGTAATAATAATTTTCGATATTAAAAGATAAATTTCAAGGTAATAATTTTAATGTCATGCCATTTGTCTTATTAATTATTTTTATATTATTTTGGTTAATAAACTCACAATAGTATTTTTACAATTTCTAATATGAACGATGAATCGCAACAGTATTAAATGTCGAAGTAAATCATCATCCACATGGTCGATGAATTTCCATGGCAATTGGGTAACTTTGTCGAGTAAGATAGAGAATATTACATTATACCTTAGGGTAAGACAAATTGACGTCGGCAAAATGTTGTCAAATTTGTAAAGAAATGGTTGGCGCGTTAAGTACATAAAAATTTATGTACATAATCTGCTGTAATAATCTGATAATAGTAAAATATGTGAATGATTAAAAGCAATTTTCTCTTTTTTTCTTTTTTTTTTTTTTAATGTTTAGATCGAACTGTGCTTATTTGGTGTACCAAAGATCTGTCGTCGAAAGACAAGAGGTCGCTTCGGATTAACGTGGAATATGATTTTGCCAGTCTGGTTCGGTGGTCCCCGGATGGGAAAGCATTCATCATTCACAAGTCCCTGGCAAACATAATCGAAGTATACAAAGTGTCGAAGAAATCCGATGGGACTCTGGCCTCGGCGACCAAGGCTTTGGAATTCCCCAGGCAGCACAAGGAAGACGCCATAGGATTGGACATCGCTTGCAATGGCCGATATATTATCACATGCAGCATAAATAACGAACTGGTCGTTTGGGATCTGAAAGGGCAAATTCTCAGCACCGTTGATACTTATCTTGGCTCAACGCACAAAGCAAGAATATCTCTTTGCGGCCGCTTCGTTGCTGCATCCGGTACAATTTACTCGTTCAAACATTACTTTTGTTCACCTAGTATTATTATAGGAACAGTACGATGACTCAAGCGCTTCTCTTAACTAACGATAGCCCTTCTTCATCCTCATCCTCATCCTCATCCTCTTTTTACGACCGTATTTTAGAGATTTGCGATCATTTTCGTTGCCCCCTATCACTGTATGTATGCCAACAGATTGAAAATAATAAGCAATTATGTACGGTATGTATTCTCCCTCCCCCCATCCTCCTCCTCCTCCTCCTCCATCATCCCGCAGTTTTTTTAATTTCGAGATCGTATTCGAGAACGAATACCATATTTTGTCGAAAAAGCGCACATTACGTAAGTTATAAAGAATTCGGATAGATGCTATTTATTTCTAATTTTGCATGTACGATAAATAGAAAAGAAAAAAAAAGAAGATGACAATAAATTCATAAGCGCGTAAATGACAAGTATACTTTAATGCATCGTGAATAAGCATTACGATATATATTTTCGATTTTATCAATAATTCCTATTTATAATGTTAAAACTAGTAACAATATTTTCGTTATTGTTGTTTTCTTAACGAGATTACATTGGTATTTCATCGATAAACACAATGTTTTATATCGATTTTCCTTCACGTTTATTAATGATCGCGATTCTTGGTAGGAGAAGAGTGTGCATTTTTTTGAAAAATATTATCATCTTACAAATATTTTACAAGTCGGGCAAATGGTTTAGGCAATTTAAATATTTTCAATCGAGCTTAAATACCTTGTACACTCATTAAAATGTTTAATTATTGTATTTTTTGATAATGCTTGTTAAAAGAATACTCGTTATTATTAGCAAAATCCTTTCAGGCTTTACTCCCGATGTGAAGATTTGGGAAATAGTTTTTACAAAATCCGGAGAGTTCAAGCAAGTGGCTAAGGCATTCGATCTTGCTGGCCATTCATCTGGTGTTTTCGACTTTGCCTTCAATTCTGACACGAGTCGCATGGCTACGGTCTCAAAAGATGGAACATATCGTTTTTATGATACAAAAGGTAACGCATTGGCTGCCCCCACGAATCTGATAATTAAGGATCAATCGATTGATTCGTGCCCCATAGCAGCAGCCGCATTTCATAAAATTGACGTTAAAAATTTGTTATATTTTTAAGGCGCATATTATTATTATTATTGTTATTATTGTTATTCTCCTCCTCCTCCTTCCCCCCCCCCCCAATCTTTCCATCGCCACAACCGCCACCCCCATCCCCATTCTCACGATACTCATCAATTATTCGATTTTTAGTTGAATTTGAGAAAGGCGAAGATCCTCATTTGATTTCGTCGAGCCAGTGGGAGGGCTCCACACCCGCAACCATCGCCCTTTCGCCAAATGCTGAAATCATTGCCATATCACATGGCTCCTCTCTATCATTTTACTCAACAGTTAACGGAGAACTGGATACAACGATCGATGATCTATTCGACGGTACGGTTCTCGTATCATATGCGACTAATTATCGACGTTTCATTTATAAAATCAATCTATCAATTAAATGACGATTTTACATTCGCAGGATCAATAAAGTGCCTCACGTTCGACTCACTTGGCGAGTACATTTTAATAGCTGGTGATCGACACATCAAAATCTTCCGAAACATTCCTGGTTATAGAGCATCTATAGAAACAGCACGTAAGAAGCTGTCGCAACGGCAAACCTCGGCGACGAAAGAACGTCTCGAAAAAACTATCGCAGACTGTGAAAAGTTCCTGAAGGATATGGGAGAGCGCTGTCCTTGAACGAAGCCGCAAATGCATTTATTATTTTTCTCCTTTTATACATTTTGTTAAATGTTTTTTTTTTCTTCTTCATTTTTTTTTTTTTTTTGTTTGTTTTTGTTTTTGAACGACTTGTTTGCAATAAATAATTTTTTATTCATACAGCTAATAAAACATTATTGACATATTTTACATTGGCCAAGGAAATGTTATTACACTTACAATATGTTTTAATTCATACTTTTTATCAAATAGAGGATATATTTATTTAGTCTAAATGAAATTACCATGACAATTTAAAGAATGATCTTCGATAGGTTGTAAGCACCTGACAAACGTTTCTTTTTATGCTTGAAAATTAAGAGTCGACGCGATGCAACGAGAGCATAAGGGGCCCTCGATTCGTTTCTCAAGATTTGATAATTTGCTCGTAAACTTACACGACGAAGGTTGTTCGAAGGTACGGGCCGACCACCAGCAAAGGCGAATCTATAAATTAAAAAATTTTTTTTTTTCTTTAATAATTAATATCTATTAACAGCAAGTATCTGATAATTATGGCGTGCTTACTTAATTTCCTGCCTCGGTCCGCGTAAAGTTGAATCGGGAAAGACAATTTGCCTGTCGCCAAATTTTCCAGCTATACTCGGCCTTATCGACGCGTATTTTATTTTACTTCTCACAATTATTGGAAGATTCGTTATTTTGTTATTTTTTATTGCCGCCACGTCGTTAATCAAGTAAGGGAGGATCGAGTCCCCAAAGTGTTGAATTATCACGGAATAATTTAATGGCTGATTACCGGACTTCACAAAGGCGCACACGATAAGCTAAAAAGTCAATGACACATCGAATCAATCGAAATTATCAGAAGATGAAAAAATTAATGATACTTACTGCGATTTTGTGCCACATATTAGAACCTGGTGTGGCATATTTTAAGACATTCACCAACGAAAGCGAAGAATCAATTTCCTTCTCGAGAAATATAAGGGGCTGAACTCCGGCAAGTAGCTCCAGAGCTATTGCTTTCTTTTTCAATTCGAAACTTTGTTCGTCCTTTCTTATTAGGACGCTTTTTAACATTGGAATGAACCTATTGGCGACCGACGGCCATCTCAGCATTAACTTTAGCGCGCAATCTTTGAAAAGTGTCTCTAAATTCGGATTGATAAAACCCTGACCGAGTAAGAGTTCTAACAGTAATTCTGTCAATTTATCTACCTGTCGAGCAATGAAAGTGCATATAAAACCTTTAATAGTCGTTGTAATTTTAATGTTAGTCGATAAAATGTTAATTATATTACAGAATTGAGATGATAAGGGTAGACAGCTTTGTTGTTATTGGTAATAGCGATGATGAGCTGACATGTCCGAGTAGAGACTCTCGTGTATTGGGCATTATTCGATATGACCATAGATCTGGCAATCGACATTAATTTATCCACTACGCCTTCTCCGCCCAAGCAGGCATTCGTAGCACAATCGTTTAGAAGAACCTAAGCAATCGTTTTATCGACGATTAACTTTAAAAACACTGTTCGACCTCTATCGCATAGAAACAAACATTTTTACCTGAAATGTTTTTTGAGAGCCGTTGAATAGCATTTTCAAGGCTCGTTTTGCATAATTATTTCTTGCCTCTAACAGCTTTGAGTCCACGATTTCAACTTCTATAAAATAATAAACAATTATTAGGGTAGTTAATTCATAAATGCCAGCTTCCATAATTGTCAAGCGCTTACCTTGAAGAAATGGAACGCTAACTTGAGAGAAACTCTGCGGTTCGTTTACTTTTTGCGATAAATCTATAAAGCGTTCGTGTGGCACAAAAAGACCGGCTTCCGAGAGATATTCTGGCAACTGTTCCGGTGCACCAATAAGGGGATCGACGTCGCACAGATTTGTCACAACAGCATTCACGTCCGTCGAGGTCAGACGTTTCCTTTTACTGTGCCTAAGTCTTGTAACGCATTTCTAAGGCATGAATTAGCGAATGTTTCCTAATTAATTAAGCATTCGAGCGTATAAATTTAATATTTAATAACTTACGTGCAATACTTCACGCAGCCTATACGATGCATCTTCGGCGAGTTTACGAAGAAGCGTATCCGGTAATGGATGCATGCCTAATTCTTCTCCTATTGCTGAAATCCATTCCGTACTCAAGACTGCGTACTTCCTTGTCGCATTCGAGCCATAAGAAACATTATTATTAGAATTTGACTCTCCGTTATTATTAACAAAATGATTACTATAGCTCGAAGAGGTTTGCGTACTCAGCACTTCTTTCATTGTTTTTGTTTATTAGAATTCTCCTTTAAGAAATATGCATTTGACTAGGTCCCCTATGTTTCTAAAAATATTCAAATATCTTACGATGAAGTACTCGATTAAAGGTAAAAAATAAACGCAACATAAAATACCATATTAGTGTCACGTTAATTAAATAAGAGAATAAAGACAAAGAGAAAGAGACGAGGAAAAGAAAGAAAGAAAAAAACTTATTATCTACTAATTTATTTTGATCACTTTCAATTACATTTGCCTTTATGCAAAAACAACTTTAACCAAATTTTCAAGTTACGTTCAATATAACATTAAATACTACGAATTTAACTCTCTATCATTTTCTAAATGTATTTATAATTAAACATAACGGCAATGCAATCAAACTCAACTTCTCATTTACAGAGCAAGCAAATACTACAGCCTACACAAGAAATTTTGAGGTTACCTTCGTACCAAAACAAAGCTGCTTGGGGAATTAGGGACACGAGCTTGTCACTGAATATGGAATAAAATGAATATTGGATCAATTTAAAAAAAAAAAAAAAAACCGTCCATGAATATACGCGAGCGCCTATATTAGCTAATCGACTGTCTTGTTCAATTCTGTTTTCGAAAAGAATTTTAAGAACGTATCGTCCGAGCCGTCGTTATGTAAGGAATAATCGGAAAAGTATTCCTTTCAATGTCTCATTCTCACGTATAATCATTTTTCCATGGACTTTCATTGTAAACTATAAACTTACATTATACTTTCATCATTTATGCATTGGAATGCATCAAATCCCTTGTTAATGCGTTGATAATATTTTCACTGTTTTCTTTTCATTTAATGCTCAATATAAAAAAAATTGTCGAGACATTGTGAAATTTCTCATTAATTATTTATAAAATCAACGTGCTCGACAAAGCCTAACAGATAATTAGAGGATAAATAAAGCTAATGCTGGATTAACGAAAAGAATGAATAAAGAGGTTGTAGAAAAATATTTATTTTATCATCAAAGCAAGCAGTTTGATCGAAAGCAAAATCTAGGGAATTAGCCTTTTTTTTCACTCTCTCTCTCTCTCTCTCTCTCTCTCTCTCTCTTCCCCCCCTCCCCCCAACCGACCAGCCCCTCCAACCCTCCATCGCCACCATCAAGAAACTCCGGGCACTTTGTAAATAAAAATTCCAGCTATGCTTACATATAGAATAGATTCGTCGGGGGCTGAGACTAATTCTGAGGCAGGAGCTGGAAAATATTAAAGGCGCTCGATGTGCTCGATGGAAGGATAAAAGATATAAACTTACGACAAAGTTATTACTGTTTAACGCCGCGTTTGAGAGCTTTGGCAATTATATCGTCAGTTTAGGGTTAAATTTCGGCGTCATAGGGCGTCGTATGTTTCATAGCTCCACGAACTTGCTGTACGTAAAAGGTGAGCAAGTGTGCGCGCAAATGTAAGCTCAGACACGAGATAATAAGAAGGACGGGGAGAGAAGATGGTCGTGCGAAGTGTGCGAGAGGCAAGTGTAACATGCACAGGGAGCGAAGGGAAGGTGGTAAATAATATTTGAACGTGTGGCACATGTTTGCCCCGGGTCGGTTAATTCAATACGTCCATGACTTCCTCGAGGTCAAAAGTGGGGATAGGGTAAAAGGACGGGTGTAGAGAGCGTCATAAATGATGAGAAG